GAAATTTTTTTAAAACTTGAGGGAAAAAAGGAAAGTAATAATGTGGCCTAAACTGAAAGAAGATCAAAGCCTTGTAGACATAGCTGTTTGAATGGATAGACAATAGGGAATGAAAAACCCAATAAAGGAAAAGATAACGGAGTTTCATCTAAAGAGCATGTTGTTGACATCTTATACTCCCAACAGAAGTTAGAGGAGAAGATGTTGAATACACAGGGAGGTAAAGGAGGCAAGGATTTTAGAAAAAAATTATAAATGGTCCCAGAGAGAAAACGAAAGCAAGAAGTGTTTAAACATTATCTGACAATAAAAGTTAGAGATGAACTTTTGAGTCACTGGATCACACCAAACTTCTCCCTTGCCGATTTCTCCTCTGCCCCCCGCCCCTCCGTACAGAAAGCAGGACTTTTTAAGCTGAACCAGGAAGTAGCTCATGATTGCTCATGCAGGTCACAAATGAAATTATAAAATGCTGTGAAAGAAACTGCTCCTGTGCTAGAATGTGGCCACCAATTCCTGTTGAAAGTGCCTTGCTTCTGAAAAGCAAGTATAATGAAATCTTAGCAAGACCCAGAGGGGAATCAAATAGCCTTAGGTTATGTCAACTGCCTCTTTCCTAGAACAGGAGGCATCCCTAACCCTGTACCAGAATAATTACTTGAACCAGGGAGAGAAGGGAATCTTCTGCTGATTAAGCCAGAGAAAGAACTGCTATACCTCAGAAAAGAGAAGGCAGCACAAAAGTTCACAAAACTATGCAACTTTGCCCAACCTCAATTTGCTTCGTAAGTTCTTCTTTGCTTTTTCTTTCAGTTTCCTTAACACTTTAGACAGTCTGGCATTAAGTGAAGGTGAGATAGGGATAGTGCAAAGTATTATCAGTTCAAGACTGTGAAGTTTATGCCTAGGAAATAGGATCACGGCTCTCCCTTAGAGCCAACAGTCATGGTAACTGAGCGAGAGATGTGGAAGAAATTGCTCTCACAGCTACCTGAAGGCTTCCCTTGATGTTTTAATCAGAGTAATTCCTATCTACTTTGGAAGCCTTGACCAATGCTTTCAAATCCTCACTATTCTCTCATGATTGCCTTATTAACAATCTCAGCTTTTTTTTTAAATATAATTAACACACATTTGTCGAATGCTTTCTAAATACCAGACACTTGTTAAGCAACTTCACATTTTGCTTATAAGCGCTTGGAAGTAGTACCTTCTTCATTTTTTCACACCCTTCAGTCAGACAATCCCAGTGTCTTGCTTTGTGCACAGTGTTCAGTGCATATATTAGTAATTCCATAATATTCTAAAATATGTCTATTGAAAACAGAATGAACTTAGGGTCAGATTTATGTGTGGGCTGGGAGCCTGGCTATAGCAACCTGGCCAGCGCTTCTTTTGTGAAATTTCTCATTCATTCTCTAAGCACTTATTCACATGTTTCCCTGAAGGGGAGTCCAAAAGTGTCTGAGAAAGGGAGCAGTTAGTGTTCTGAAGGATTTTGCGCCCATCTTCTCTCCATTTATATGATCTGGACAAGTTAATTCACTTATCTAAGCCTCTGTTCTCTCATCTATAAAACGAAAGTGATAATACCCACTTAAGATGATTTTTATTTTGTTTTTCAGAATAAATGGCATAATGTACATGAAGTATTTAGCTCTACACCCAGTAAGAACTCAATAAATATTTACTATGAATACTTTAGTATTTCATCTCTGATTAGTCTTTGTAATATCCACGTTGATCCTTCTGATAGTCACTTCTCAAGGTTTCCTGGATTTTTTAACAGCCACCTGTAAGGTGCACCCGGAACCTCCAGCCCTACTTTCCTATGCATTCTCCCAGATTCCTTTTTCTCTCCTTTCCCACATCCAGTGAAGCAACTCTACTGATTCTACTTCCAAACCTGTCCTGAATCTGTCTACTTCCTCCCGGCCACACCACTATGACTCAAGTCCACACTACTGTCCTCTCTCACCCGCACTAGTAAAGCAGCCTCCAAAATGGTCTCCCTGCTTCCATTCTTAACTCTCTACAACCTTTAGTCCACACACCAGCCAGAGTGATTTTATAAACCTAAACTGTATCACACTATAGATATTATTATAACTTTCCAATGGTTTCTCTCATTCTCACCAGGCCTTCGTACTAGCTGCTGTCCCTACAGGGAATGCTCTTTCATATGTTTATCAATGTTTTCCTTTTCTTTCAGATCTTAGTCTAAACACCATCCTGCCATAAATGCCTTCTATGAACATTCAACACAGAGGAGCCACTCAGATACTCTTTTGTTCAAAGAAGGTGCTGAGTCAGCATCACCATTTAGCCTTGAATAAATAGGGTTTGAACTGGGCAGGTCTGCTTATAACACTGTTTGTTTCTTTGTTTGTTTCAATAATATACAGTCAGCCCTCTGGCCTTCTGAATTTGTAGGGGTTTCGAACATTTGAGATTGGTTGAATCCAAGGATGTGAAACACACAGATAGAGAGGGCCGACTGAACTACACCATTTTATATAAGGTACTTGAGCATCTGTGAATTTTAGTATCTGTGGGAGCTCCTAGAACCAATCTCCACAGATGCCCGGGGATATATTTATTAACAACTACCCTCCCCAACTTCTGTTTCCAAAGCACTACACTTTGTACAGTGTCTTATAGTCTAAAGGACAAAAATCAAACATAAGTATTCATTGATTTCTTCTGGAATGAATTTTTCACTGGAGTTATTTTTCTATCATCAACTTGCAATTAACTCTGTTGGCGTCAGAAATGGTAATTCCTATTTATTTTATTTGCCTGACAAATGCTATCTGTGCTAGTGTTCTAGGTAGTGCTGGGAAGAAATGACCTTGCTCCTTTCCATATTGATGGGTGTCAATCATGGTTCCTACCACACTCAGGATATTGGGAGGAGTGAATTGAAAAGTCTTGCTCTTACAAGGATTATATTCATAGAAGAAAATAGATCATAATCAAATAACTGAAGAGAGAATGAATGAATAAACAAGAAAAATATCAGGTAGAGCTACATAATGCAGTGTGATAAACAGTGACTTCAACAAAACCTATTCTTGCTATTAACAAACCTCTCAAACAGATTAAATACAAATTAAAGGAAGGAATTCCAATGACCATCATTTCCTCTAGTGCCTGACTCTATAGACATACTGCCTAAATGTTCATCTAAACAATTTTTTTCCTTTAGTTTTATTCAGATTTACCCCAGGGTGTTTCAAGTGATGCATATGCCTCTTAGTGGATTGCTTCTACCAACAAAGTTCTCAAAAACAGACATCATTAACACAAATCAACGCTGTCTATGTTTGTTACATCTCTCACAATGTTTCTGTAGACCTTAGTAATGCTCTCTCCAAATGTTCATCTTCCTTAAATTCTTTCATAAACTAGTCATTTTTTGTAATAAAATTTTCTCTCACTTTATGCATAGATGGATTACAATAATAGCAGCAACTGAAATGAATTCTTAGCTTGGAAATTGCAGAGTGATCTCTCAACCTCATTCAAGTTCAGGAGAAATTCAGTTCAGGTTACCTTTCATCATCCTTGGTGTTTATTCTAGGAATTCCATCATTAAGAGTAGCCCAGGGCAGACTTAGCCAAGTTGACACAGCAGAACTCAATTTTTCAAGGGGCTAGGAAAAGAAAACTTCCAATGTGTTAAAATGGTTTCTGATCTCCAGGTGGGTATTTTATATTATGAACAGAGAAGCACCTAATGCAAGCTTTATTGGCAGAACATTTAGAGGCATATTTTTTAAATTGTATAAGAAATATGTGGCATTTTCCTTTCATCATGTATTTTAAACTCTGTAACAGGGGCATACAATCTTAAAAGGAGGAGGAATTTCATAGTTAAGCTGCCAGAATCCAAACCATCCTTGGTGGTGTGCATGGCTGTGCATGATGAATGTTTCAGGGTAATCCCTTTTAACATATCAGAATTAGGAATAATAATTCATCTAATTAGAGTCATATTTTAAGTCATATGGATTTATTTAAGTATAAATGAGTAAGGCCTCTTCTGGCTTGTCTATAGGCCCTTTTCATCCATATTGCCTGTGCCTTTAAGTACCATCTATACCACCCAATTCCACTCTGAAGTTTTCCTACTAAAAATACCTATCAGAAAGGTCAGGTCCTTTTATAAGTAAGTTTAAATGAAAAAAAACCTTACAAATGTAACTTATTAACAATAATGATATTCTTTTTAAACAGGACTTTTTCCCAGTCTGTTTCTCATAGAGCAAACAGATACAATAGGACTGAGCTGTTGAGGAAACATTCTTTGCTTTGCACTGATAGCCTTGCCTTAATCAATTATAAGGAGATTCCCATACTTCGATCAGGAACCAGAAATGAGCATAGGGGTTGCAATCGAGAGAGGTTAGACTTTTATGTTCCATAGTCACACTTGCCAATTTTGTGAACTTAGGCAAGATACTTAACCACCCTATGCTTTAATGTCCATGTCTGGAAAATGAGGTTAATAGATGCCTATCCATGGGGTCACTGTGAAGATTAAATGAGAAAATATTTGTAATGTACTTACAGTGATGCTTGGCACATAGTGGGTGCTTAGTAAATGTTGGCCAGGATTATACCTGTGCAAGTAATTAGAATGTATAAGAAACAATGTGCCAACAATAGTGTTGGAGGTGGTAGAGAAAGGGAAGAAAAAGTTATATGTCCTGTTCAGTGTTGCTTTGATTTTTAGCTGTGCATTATTAGCTGTTAAATTATTAATGGAATTCCTATAAGAAAAATAACATGCAACTACAAGGCTAAAACTACATTTATAATTCCCCTGTTTTTACATTGAAATAATTGCTTAATTGTTATATATCAACTCAAGAGTTCTTAGAAATGCAGTTAACAGTTTATAGCATAATATTAAGTATATAGTCTCATCATACCCGTGATACAGATAAGAAAATTGAGGAACAATACTAGAGTATACTGAGAATGATTAAAGGTTTCACAAAGGAGCATTTTGTACTAGATGAACACCTCAAAGCAGTACATTCAGTCCACTAATGCTTTCATAACTCTTGAAAATTCCCCTCACAAAAGATTTGGTCTAAGTGGTGTAATTTAACACATGGATCAACGGATTAACTCTCAAAGTTTAAAAAGTGCAAGATTTCCAATCTAGTTAGAATTCCTCTGATCAGGAAGGCAAAACGGAGTAGATCAAAGGCATATAATGTGAGTGAACCCAGATGGAAAGCCATTACAATCCATTCCATAGAAACAGTCTACTTAGTAAATGATGATATTTATTTATTTATTTATTTAGATTATATATAAATCACACAGTTAATCCTGCTATAAGACACCAAATCTACCCTCTTTCAGTTCTGAGGTCGTAGGTTAATAACCCCTAATCCTGACTAGTTATGTGAGAGTCCAGTTGAACTTCTAATGTATAAATTGAGTTGGCACTTAGCCTACGCACTTGGCACTTAGCTTAAATGACTTCTTCTCAGGAAAATATTTCTTTAATACCTTATCTAAATATCTCTGGTTAATGTTCATCATTTCAATCTATTTATTGCTTCACAGCATTTAGCACTATATGAAAGTATTTATTTGCAAATTTGTTCATGCATATTCTTGTTTAACGTCTGCCACCCAAGTCCTTTTATGTGTTTAGTCCACCTCCACCCACCAAGTATGTACTACAGCACCTAGCACACAGCAGGCACTCTTCAGAGGTCCAATGAATAGAGATAAAAGTTTTGGAAGAGGTAGACCTCGACAAATTTACCAGCATCACAACTTTATAGACATCATATCTTATTGTTGGGCAAAGGAATAGCAGCACAAAGTCATTAAACATAGTTGTTTGAGTTAATTCCATCCCCCTGTTTTGTATTCTACTATTTTTTACATTTTTACTCCTTACTGTTTCTTTTACCTTCTTTTGTTAATTCAGTTAAAAAAAAAAACTGGAATGGTAGCACCTTACGAAATAGTTTTTGTAAAACTTATCACTAAGAGACTTCCAAAAAATCATTTCCTCACTACCTATGGACAGAGGGGATGTCTAAACTCCTAATGAAAGGACAGATCACAACCTTTCTCTTTTCTGACCAGGTAACTAAGAATGAGTTCTCCAGCAAATCAACAAGGTGTGGAGTTGAACTGTTTGCTGAAACAAGTACTGGTTTAACCATAAGCACAGCCAAACCTCTATCTCAGAATAAACTAGGCTCTCACTTGAATTCGTATTTCAAGTTAGAATGAACATTGGAGCTTTTTTAATTTTTAGCACCATAAAAGGGTTCATGAACTAAAGTAAAATAACTCCATCTGCTTGTACCCAATTACCGAAATTGAACAAAAGAAATATAATTTGTGGGGAAAGAAAATGGACATATAATAACCACAAATCCAAAAAGTACACCAGAACAAGTTCTCAGTAATTTACAAAACATCACCAAAGGTTTTTCTTGTACCCAGTGGTTATACAGCCATGAGATAAGGTTGTCCTTAGACAGGTGCTTTGGAGAGACTAATGTTAAGGTTCTGGTGTCATTTGAACTTAAACTGAGTTTTAAGATGTCATCTTAGACTCAATGAATTACTTCCTGAATAACAAGTTTTAAGCCATTTGCCAATATATTCTGCAAAAATTTTGCAATTATAATTAATGAATAAAATATGACCAGTTACAGTGGGTTGAATTTTTTCAAAAAATTGTATGTTCCTATAGAGAAAGATCCCTGAGGACATTTTTGGTAGTAATCTTACAATGTTGTACTGCTTGGGAATTAGGGAAATTGATGCTTGGTGAATTGATGCTTTAGTTATTTTTCCCCAATTCAATTTCCTCCAATTCCTGAGGGAAATCAGATAATCTAGTATGCTATTCCTTTCATGAATGAGTACTTTTCTGACATGTTAGATGAGTAATGACAAAGAAGTCTATAGTTTCTTTTGACAACTTTATCATACCAAGAATGATTTTATGCAACAGAAATGATACTCAAAATAGAATTTGATTTAATAAAAAAAGTCATACAGTTTTTTGGCAGTATCTAGAGCTATAACTGATGTTTAAGGGGATACTTAGGATTCATAAGTTACTTTTCATTCTCTGAAATGGTCTTGTTTATTTACTAGTTACTGGTCTTGTCTGTTGTGTCTCTCCTCCCACCTCCCTCCCAATCACAATCCCACCTCTAATAGCACAGGGAATTTGTCTTCTTATTTGCTGTAACCTGGCCATAGTTGAAGTTTTCAATCAATATTTGCTGAATTAGTGAATTAAGCAGAATGAGACAGGCATTGATTGACATCATGAAGAAAATATCTTGACCATTAAATTGTTTCAATCAATAGAGCTATAACGGGTTGAATAGAGTCCCTCTAGAAGATACTTCCAAGTCCTGATCTCTAGTACCTGTGAATGTCACTTTATTTGGAAACAGGGTCTTTGCAGATGTAACTAAGTTAAAGATCTTGGGATGAGATCATCCTGGATTTAAGGTAGGGCCTAACTTTAATAAGTGGACTCATAAGAGAAAGAAGAAGCAGTTTTGGGACACAGAGGTCACTTGGGAGAAGGTCATATGCACATGGAGGCAGAGATTTAAGTGAGGCATCTACAAGTCATAGAACATCAAAAATTCCTGACAGCCACCAGATACTAGGAGAGAGGCATGGGATGGATTTTCCTTCAGTCTTTAGAAAGAATTAACCCAGCCAACACCTTGGTTTTGGAATTCTGGCTTTCAGAACTGAGACAGAATAGATTTTTGTTATTTTAAGCCACTAGTGTATAGTAATTTGTTGCATCAGCCATAAGAAACTAAAACAAGAGCAAACCGAAATCATGATTATTTATCTTTTTCTTCTAATGACAGAAAGGAAGGAAAGACAAGATCTTAACTGGTCATTCATCAGTGTCTGATGAAAAGAGACTATATAAGAAGTTTTCATGAATACCATTTTCTAATAAACAGTAATGAAAAATCATAAAGCAATGGAAGTAGTGGTTCAGTCAGGTAATGGATGACTGAGGCAGTATGAAGCAGTGATGCCAGACATTACATTCAAATCCTGGGCCTGACTCTTGCTAACTATATGCCCTTGGAGAAGTTATTTGACTTTTTTGATTCTCTTCTGGAAATAGAGGGTAATTATAGTATCTACCTCCTAAGGTGATTGTGGGGATTCATGCAAGTAAAACACTTCAGCAGGGCTTGAAATTCAGGAAGTCCCCTAGTGGTTATTCATGAACTCCTTAATCATCACTTAAAAGAACAGAGTTATGCAAATAGAACATGGGATTAATATTAGTTGAAGGCAACATGAAGGTGGATACCGAGTAATATGTTTCTGATTTTCAAAGCTTTCCAAATAGAAGCCACAGGTTTCAAAATCCTATGAGTTAGGATTTCTTCCTTCTTTTTTTCTCTCTTATTCTCTTTCCAGTAGTTCTTTCTGTGTGAAAAGAAGTACTTCTTCTACTTTTATTGAAGTCTCTCCTTCAGCATCCTAATATTCATGGAAAAACAAAAACTGGGAGCAAGTATGGAAACCACAGTCCTCATCTCCTTTCTATGCCAATGGCTGAGATTAGGAGCATTCCATTTTAGAGCTTGAAGGTACATTCAAAACTACCTAGTTCAACTCCTTTGTTGACAGATGTCCAGAGAGCTTATGAAACTCATCCAGGATTCCTAGGTTCTTTGAGGGCAAAGACCTAGGGCTGCTTATTAACTACTATATACTTATAAGTTAGCACAGGTCTTCCAGATGAAAATAGATAAACAAGTAACTGACAAGTTAGTCGGTGCCACTACCATTAATATTGCATTGGCTTCACATCTCATTCTGAGAATAAAATGCACGATAACACAGTGGAGGACAAATATGTTGACTTCTGTTCATACTGACCGAAAGTATGTAATGTTGCTTATTCTACATCGGAGGGATGAGTCCTGATATTGCTGAAAATGTATACCAATTCATTAGAATCCATGCAAATAATACAGATGATTTCACAGGCCTAGAGCCACTTACAATAACAAATGTATTATAATGTTCCTTCTCTTTTTCTTGCTTTGTGAGATTTCTTTCAAGGAGTTATTAGTAGAATATCATCTATTTCCAGAAATGCCAGACCCTCTTTTTATTCCATCTGCAAGACACATGTAGCCATCTCTTCAATCTTTCAGAGGGAATCAGCTGTGTCCATATTCCAAAAAGTGAGTTTGGAAGGTTGGAAAGAGTGGGAGGTGGTAGGAAAGTCAGCCAAGATGAGCAGTTTCAACTTCTTTGATTTTTTTCTGTATAAATGTGGTGGCCAAGACCCAAACAGCTCTGATTTTTCTGCCAGCATGCACTTTTTCCATCATTCCTCTCTGGCTAAAACTTTGATCCCTGAGCATCACTTGCAGAATCATTCATCATCAGGTGTTTAACATCCCTTGGAGGAACTCTGTTTCTGGGCCCTCCTAAAGGATATTAAGGAGAAGTAGACAACTTTACCATATTAAGGTAAAACACATGATTCTGCTCTTTGCCACTTTAGCTGACATTTGCCTAGCTGCAAAATCACTTTAGACACATCACAAATTTATAACAGTATCCTATAAATGGAGTCATTTTCCTCAAGGACTCAAGCTAGGTGACTGGGGAAAAGATTAGGCATCTACATAGAAAATGATTTTTACTAAAATACGTGAAAACTAAAGGATTCCCTCTTAATGTTTTATTCTTAATTTACTGTGGAGAGGAACAAGGACTTCATTTTGAACCAATGGGAGCTCTGGATCCAGATCTCAGACATATCAGGACTCTCACAGGAAAATACTCAGGAAGAAGCATTAAGATATGAGGACATAGATACTCTTTGTATTTTTTTTTTTTAGATTCCACATACAAGTGATATCATACAGTATTTGTCGTTCTCTGCCTGACTTATTTCACTAAGCATAATATGCAAAACAGAAACGGACTCACAGATATAGAAAACAAACTGATGGTTAACAATGGGGAAAGGGGAGGAGTGAGGAACAAATTAGAGGTATGGGATTAAGACATACAAACTACTATGTACAAACTAGAAAAGCAACAAGGATATATTGTATAACACAGGGAATTATAGACTTATCTTGTAATAAATTCTAGTGAAGAATAAGCAGTAAAAATACTTAATCACTATGCCATACATTTGAAATTAATATAATATTGTAAATCACCTAAACTTGCATTTAAAAAAAGCTATCAGAATAATGACATGTAGAATTAGGATCATTTTATTGTACCAAGAGCTACTTTGGCCCAAAGTATTCCTTCACACAGATATAAAGGAAACTTCTTTTACTTCTTAAAATGCTGCCTTTCTTCCGTAACCTGAGAACTTCCATTAATTTATTTTTGAAATTTAGAGGGAAAAGCTAATTGGCTTCCAAGTAACCAAAAAGTCACAAGCTCACTCATATTTCCCAAAGAAAGCTTTCCTCAGAGCTAAATTTCTTGGTTAAAAAAGACAGAAAGTAAGAATTTAAAAATATTTAAATGTGTTAAGCCTTTTCAGAATATTGACACCATCAGTAAGCTGTGAAGCTTGTAACAAAACCAAGAATTCTTAGTGCCCTACTCTTTGTTCCTCATCTATCTCTTAGGCTTAGGTTTTTCTTCCTCCACTAGCAGAATAATAAAATCAGCAGAATGTGTGCTTTTAAAATGTTTTCTTCATAAGTCAGAGAAAGACAAATATCATATGACATCACTTATATGCAGAATTTTTAAAAAATGATACAAATGAACTTATTTACAAACCAGAAATAGACTCATGGACATAGAAAACAAACTTATGGTTACCAAAGGGGAAAGAGGAGGGATAAATTAGGAGTTTAGGATTAACATATACACACCACTATATATATAAAATAGATACGTTTCTACAATATAGCACAAGGAACTATATTCAATAGCTTGTAATAACCTATAATGAAAAAGAACCTGAAAAAGAGTAAATATATATGTGTTTATATGGACAAGTGAATCACTTTGCTATACACCTGAAACTAACAAAACATTGTAAATCAACTATACTTCAACTTAAAAAATTTAAATAATTAAAAAAAAAAACCTTTTTCTTCAGTTGTTCATGACAGGCTTGATATTGTGATTAATGCTTTCTCACTGGGTTTAATTTTAAACCAAAGGTGAGTCTCCGTGATTTAGTGGCTAGAATAGATTTTCATTTTGTGGCCATTGGACAGAGTTTTCTCTTTGTAAATCTCACTTGTATTATGATAGCTTTAGCACTTTAAGTTCACCAAAGAGACTAGCTCCAATTTTAACATCTTCTTTGATTGTTCCTATTTAAATGTTTATCCTCATCATGTTTCCTTCTGAGAGTTAATTTGCTTTCTTTCTACAAGATTTACTTCCCCCCACCCCAGTTCTCCTTACTATTTACCTCTTCAACAGCTCTTTGGAATAACAATCCTAAAGAAAGACTAATAGGGAACAAATGTCCTTGAAAACAAAGACTAAGTCGTATGCCTAGAAAGAATAATAATGTTTCTTACAGGTTAGCTTTGTGCTACTCTGATGAAAGAACTGGTTTGGGGCCTTTTTCATTACAGGTTAACATCCTAACAAGCCTCTGCTTCCTGTAACAGTACAGTTGTATTATTTAATCCTACTATTTAAAAAATGTGAACTTTGAAAGTGCTAAGGTTCGAATTTCCAAAACTATTTCTTCTATTCAGGCTGCCTTTAGTAGAAAACTTAAGTAGTTGGTCATTACGAAAAATTATATGTATTATTGAATCTTTTTCAAGTCCATTTAAAAGATCAGTCATCTCTCAAAACATCTGTGAAGGGTAATGCTTGACTAAGTCACCTCTCAGTTTTCTTATCTGTAAAATGAGAGGGTTGGACCAGCTTATCTCTGAAGTACCCTCCAACTGTTAATGTCTACGAGATCAGTATTTTTTCTATAGGATTTCTGGATTCTAGAAAAACATTCAAGCACAGGATGTTATTTATTAGAATCCTAAACTAGATTTTCTTTTTTTAAGTTCCAACTGTCTCAACGGTTCCTTATCATCCAAATCAACATACACTCTCTGGCATATTTGTGATGCCAAGCAAACTTGAAGTATACGCTTGCTGACAGTCATTAAGATAAGTATTTTGCATGTCCTTCCACGTGCTTTGCTTAACTGAAGTTTCTGAACCTTAAAATAACATCACAGCAATCTAATCTGGAGATAAAAGGAGGGAAGATACGTAGAGGTCCTAAAGAAAAGAAATACTTCTAAATCAGACTAACTATGGATCAAAACTATGTACTGTTACAGAAAATGAATCATGAAATACAGAAGAAATAAAAAAGCTACTGCATAATTTGCTTCCAAATAATTCATCTCTGATATTAAACTAACATGACCTATATTTCAGAAGAGAAAAAAAAATCCTCCTCTGAAGTCAAAATACCTTTCTTCCTTACTTCCAAAATTATGATGATAGCAAAATGAAACTACATGAATGGAAGACCTTTGCTTGTATAACTGTAACTTAATAATTTTATTCCAAGTGACAAGAGAAACCTTAAAAGCATTCCTACTGGTTAACAAACACAATTTGAGGCAGAACTCTGCCTTAGGACCACAGTATTTGTCAGGAAGCTTCACTGATTCCTCATGTTTGCTGTATATTTTCCAGCAGTGTACTTAGCATGTGACCTTTATGTGGCTGCACAGTTTCCCCACTGCTTTCATAGCTCATAAAATGCTTAGGAAGTGTTTTAAAAATTGCTCAAAGAAATTGGGCCACAAAGAACTTGACCTTCATGCATCTTAATGGTCCAGCTTTAATTTCATTTTCAAGGAAGGGATATTTTCATCACAAATGCACTGGTAACATCTGTATTTCAGGTTCTCTTGGAATAGCAAGTAAGAAGTGGTTCTGCCCAATGTGTATTATTTGGCCATCACTCTAAAATATGTGATGCTCCAATTACTCTTCTCATGAAATCATGCACACAAATGAATCCTCCCTCTTTCCTTAACATCACCCTCCTTTTGTTGATCACTTTCAGTTATCTGACTATGCTGGAAAGACATTATGTCATAAACAGCATAATAACATCTGCAAAGAATCCCTTTGGAAGTCATAGCATATGCTGTCAAAGCCAAAGTGTACTCTTGGATCTGAAGTCCACTACTTATAAGGGCTGACATTTAGCCCTGTAACATTTGAATTTTTTCCCCCCATATAGGCTGCTAGGGGATACATGACTAGAGAAGCATCACAAACAAGATCTCAGTTTATAGCTGTCTGGAGAATCACTGAATCAAGCAATAGAAAAACATTGTAAGTAGCAGCTTGCCTTTTCTATTTCCTTTGGTGTTTTACAGGATAAAGAGTGGTACTGGATAATTTGAGTTTAATTGAATGTGCAGTCTTTGCTCTGAAATGCTGGTTTGGAGCTCTACGCTTGGGTCTTATGCTGAACTTTATGTAATATAACTGTCAGCAGTGCAAGCTGATGAATACACAACATATTAGGTGTATCTGTGTGAATTCATTAAAATAAACTGCAGAGGAAACTGTCAGACCAACTCTGACACAGCTGCCTCATTCTTGAAGGCCACATGCCTAGCAAAGTTTCCATAGAGAAGGTAATACCCAGTCTCCCCTTTTCAATGATTTATTTGATCAACTGATTATTATGAATACATTTTCCTTTAATAATGCTAAGTCAATAATTTGGGAAGATAATGAAAAGAAATATGAAATCTGGGAAGCTCTTCATTGTATAGAATAATGCTACAACTTCTGCTTGACAATTCAAAATTCGTATGTGGGTATCACATGAACTTGTACAAAAGTGGACTGTGGCCCTCCTATTTCACATTTCTAACTCAAAAAAGAATTTCAACAGAGATCACTGCCCCAGTTATTTGCCTTGAAAAAAGAAATAAACCCTGTCAACACCTTCTTCACTTTAAACTGCTGTACTTACAGAACTAAACAATTAGGGAAGGGTGGGGTGTTGGGAACCAAGGGTCATAAGTTTCCAACCATGCTATGTATACAAGGTTAACTGCAGACTGTGTTGTCTCTATTCAGTCATGGCTCATTTCCATGTGTGTCCTGGGATTTGCCTTATGGGGAAAAAAAAATTCTAAGTCTTGTCAAGCATGTGGTGCATTTTTAGTCTCCTGAGAGGAGGTGAATCTAGCCTACCCGTCACTCTCAAGTCCTCAAAATCTAGACAATGGTAATGCTACAAATTAACTTTTAAAACTTGAGAAAAATATAAGCATTGTTGCTAGAGGAATTAGATGTGAAATGGGTAACCAATGAGGCTTATCCAATACAGTTTAATAGAACAAGGAAAATTAAACTTAATCTGTGATATAAGAAACATTACTTGATTGATGGAATATATTCTTGATTAATTACTCCAGCATTCAGCTTTATTATAACTTAAGTAATAAGAGATTTCATGTACCTCTTAATCTGTAAACAAGTTAAATGAGCCAAAAGTCAGTGAGGATTTTCCAACTGCCACATTCTGAAATAAAAAACATTTGGGAAAACAAGATGCAAATCCAAACTCACACTTTAAGGAGTTTTTCCCAGGCTGGGGCTTGATTATCACTGCCCAAATCAAGACAGAGCCAATAAAGCAGTGTTCCCAGAAAAAGCCATCAGCAGCAGTCATACTCAGCTCCTTGTCCCGGTGACTGCTTTGGCCTATAGAAACAGATACAGCACATCTGAACCAGTGTAGAAATGGGACCTACTAGGAATACTCCACCTCCAAAATCAGGAGATAATTTTACCAAATAGGAAGAAACAATATTTCTCTTGCTTTTTGAGAAGAGAAAAAATCTCTGAGATGACCTGTAGTGTTCAGATTATCTTGAAAAGCATTCTGAGCTCTCACAAATTGTGCTAATGGGGACAAAGAGAGAAAGAAACAGGCCAGTTCACTAGGGTCTCAGATGGTTTTAGGAAGGAGTAGGAAAATGCAGTAACTTCCAAAGGAGAATGCCTCCCCTCCAACCAATCAGATCAGATTCCATCTTGTTTGTTGCACTGAAGCATATCAGCTGATTATCAGCCCTGGTACTAGGGGCAGAAAACAAGTAGGTATAGAGACAGTTCTGGTGACCACATCTGGGTCAGCCAAGGCATGTAACTCAATAAGATTCTTCATGTCTTTGTTGCTGTAAAGTTATTCTAGTGAGCAAAGAGTCAAGAATGTTCCAGAAAACATTTGAGCTGTTGTGAGTTCAATAGGATCTTCTCTGCATAGCAGGATGGTCAAAGAGAGTGAAAAGTAAGAGGGGAATAGGAAGCAGGGGTCAAGATTCCGGCAAGATTGAGCAAAATATAGGTTCTGCCATTCTATGTGAGGTTCAGGGCTGGGTACCAGTTCTACAGGGAAATACGGCAAGAAACGAGGTGGACTACAGATAGAAAATCAAGATATAAACAAGCCCATGTGAACAGCCAATGCATAAATGAAAAGGAGGTGCTCGAAAGTGGAGGGTATATTTTCTCATACATAACATATGATGCAAATAGATTAACCTAATTTAAGAACTGTAACTCAAGAAATTTTTCTTCTCCTAGATTTATACTTATTGTTTTTCTCTTTGCTACTTTGTTTCCTTCAGAAACACCTAGCGCTTTGGTTTCTATCCTTCATTTCTATAGATTTTCCATCTCATTGTTTTCATCTTTTGACCATTTTTTCTTTATTCTGTGAGAGCTTGATTCTGAATAGTACTATTTCTAAAGTTGGAATTTCTGGGATTAGCTGGAATTATATATCTGATATTTCCAATGTATTATTTTCAGTTACTGAAGGAGATCAATAACATAAATAATAAGGCCCAGCACTTAGTTTTTTTTCTTTCATAAATACATTGTCCTTTTTTCAGTCTAAAGAAGTTTAAAGCAATGTTTGTGTATGGATAGTAATAACTTTAATGTTTTACCAACTCAACTTGATTTCCCATTCCCATTTTTGGTTTCTGAGAAACATCTTCCTGACTCCATATGCTTCTAGAGGAACTGCCAATCATGTGCCTCACTCCTCCTTCTCTGTGCCAAAAAGAGGGATCAAATTTGATCCAATCATAATATAATATCTCCCCAACACAAGGTTAGTATAGATCTAGGACTAAGTTTGACCAATCAGAATCCTCTCAGGGATACTTTCGCTATATCTGCTGCAGAAGATGCTTCCTATTTAGATCACAAGTTCTAATGATATAGACCTGAGATTACTTTTCTGCTATATGATGAGAGCCTATCCATGTAGAAGATAGAGGCCAACACATATGTAGAAGTAGTGAGAAGCAGAACCAAGAGACAGAGAGCGCTCAATCCATAAAAATAATATTTGAGTCCAGATTCCAGTCTCAATTTGCGTTTCATCAGCCAATAAATACTGTCTTTGCCTGAGCTAGTTTAAATTGAGTTCCAGTCACTTAGAACTGAAAGAGCCCTGGGGTATATAAATGTCAAACACTATTAACAAAAACAAAGCTGACAGTAATACAAAGCCTCCATGGCTTAATGATAAATGACTAATGTACACTATTCACATTTTCCAGAAACTCTTAATGCCCTATGCCAGTATTGCTGCACACAGTCGGCAAGGTTCGTGAACATTTCAGTTACTATGGTTTACAGAAGGATTTCCAGGCCATGATTTCATTATTTTCTGCTACTTAAAATAGCATTCTGGTTTGTGGATTTTGGATTTAGGATGATGCACATCTTCTTGACTCTTGGATGTTATATAATAGTGGGCATGACATGGTTAAATAGTAAAAATCATATTCTGCTGAAGCCAGAGGTGAAATTTTATAGTCAGTCATAAGAAGTATCTCTGTATCTTCTATCAAATGAAAGAAGCCTCCTTGAGCTCAGATTTAATCTCCAAAATAAATATAGTGAAAATAAAGCACTGGACTATTCTCACTCTGTTTCCAATATCAAGTGCATTCATCCACTGGAAAAGTATTTATTAATGGCCTACTATGTACCAGGCAATATATTATATGCTATGGATTGCAGTTGGGAAGATAAAGTACAGGCCAGTGGTGAAGACAGACAAGATCATAAACAAATAATTAATTTGGGGTTGTAATAAATGTTGTAAAGAAAAATAGGTCAGGTAAAGGAATAAGATGAAGGCTTCCTTGAGGAGGTGGCATCAAAGATATCTTAAGGATTCAAAAGAATAATATGGGGGAGAGCAGGAAATTAGAAGTTGTAAAGACTCAGGGAAAGAATGAGCTCAACATATTCAAGAATTGACAAGCCCAGACTTGAAGAAACAGAGTGACCAGGGCCTTGTAGACCTTGGTACAAAAGGTGGATATTATTCTCCACATTACAACAAGTCACTGGAGAGTTTTGAGCAGAAGAGTTGTGTAATTTGATTTACGTTTTCAGCAGGTTACTCTGGAGGTGGGAGGAGGGCAGTAATTGTAGAAGTAGGGAATTAACAGAAGCCAGTGAAGGAGTAACTACTGTAAGCAGGTAAGACCACATGCCGGTGTGAATTAAGATGGTAACAATGGAGTGTTGAGAAGAAATGGCTTAGGAATATAGTTTAAGGTAGAGCTGAGAAAATTTTGCAATAGACTGGATGGGGGTGAGGGGAAAGAAAAGAAGAATCAAGGATAAATCTAAGTTTCTGATCTGATCAACTGTGTAATTGCCAGTGACATTTGCTGAGTTGAAGAATACCAAGAAGTACATTTTACTGTGAAAATTTCAAGGGAGTTTCTGCCTTCCACTTCTGAATAGGATCTGGGGAGGCAGCCAGTCTCCAGGATTCCCTGTTCCCAGTATGACAGCGTGGTAGAGTAGTAGTTTGCACTGTCTGGGAAGAGAAGCCTGAGAAAGTGCCACAGAGTTGCCCGCACCCAAATGTGCTGTTGGAACAGTTGAATATATTCCCTACATCCAAGGACAACATTGAAATGACACAGAAGATTGACAATCTCAAGCCATGGTGATGTTAAAAAGGGAAATATGGCAATGGTCTACGGGAAGACAGCTCCACCCATTCTGAAAAGAGAATATTTGAGCAAGAGGCAGAATAAATCAGTGATGATGACTCAGACAAGACATGCCATTTACCTCACCCCATTTACCACACAAAGCCCCAGCTCCCCACTTCACTCTCACTGGAGAACCCAGATAAAATTTCAGGATAATGTTAAAAGACTCAAGCAAAGATTAATTTCATCATGTAGTTCAATAGAGACTTGTTACAATTTAGTTGTAGAAAAAATAAAGATAGGCTAACTGTACCTGAGTTTGTGGACTTGGATTTATATTTTCTATACAGGGTAGAAGTTATTCTAGGGCTAATTGGCATTGATTTTGGAGAGCCAGAAGAAAGAGGGATCACTGAATTATTTGAGAACTAAGCAAAGACATATTCCTTCATCTCATTTGACCAAGGATTTTAAATCTCTGTGAGATTAAAAACCATTGCTAGTTTCTAGAGTAAATGCATTGAATTAATACCAGGAACACATAAAATATTTGTCAATAATTTTTAAAATAGTCAATCTAACGTGAGCAGTATAGCAAACAGGGTAGATCTAAATCTTTAATGTAGGTTTGGTTGTTTCCAATTAATTCATTTCTTTTATGAGATCATGAGTTAAAAAAAAAACCCTTCAGATATTGTCACATCATACACAGGTACACCTCAACTGCCAATGGTTGTCACAATGCTTATGCTCAGAGAAGGTAGCTCAGGTAAGTACTAACACTTACTAAATGTTACCTCAACCAGGTTCATTCTTGTTTATATTGATACATGACATAATAGCTAAGATTTCTTTGTGTAACTGTGTATAATTATATCCTATGCATCACATTGTTCTCAGGTAGTCAGTCCAGTGTGTCTCAAGAGCATTTTCTGTCAGTTTGCTCAAGAACTATGTTGGCATTTATGTTTGTTGTAAGAAAAGAACATAGATTCAGATGTTAAGTATATTCTAAGAAGAAATACTCTCATTTTGCTATACAAAGATATAGAATTATGCTTTGAAACCCTTCAGTTTAAAAAAATGGTTGAATTAATTTGCATAGAGAAATGCTTAAGACTTTTACTCAAGAATTACTTGCAAATTTGACGAATTGTTCAAAGAATGACCTAAAAGCACATGGTGATGACATCAGAAGCTGTGGCTTCTCATTGCTGTTTCCTTAATTATCTTCTTGTTTCAAATGATATGGGACCTCATGAGATTTTGGTGAGTTCATGATTGTTTTGTGAGTTTGTGTTTTGTTCATTCCTTGATCCATTTCCGTATCATAAAATGCAGAATCAAATATAAAATCTTAAAACACAATATCTCTAAAAGGAATTAAAAATTCTATGGACAGCAGACATTCCAAAATGAAGGTGATTAATGGAAAATATTTTAAAAAGAGATTAGCATTTGATTCTTGATAATTGCATCATTGACAGTTGGCTGTGGACAAACCTGAACAATGTCAAATCATAAGGAAAAGCAAGAAGTATAGTTTACTTATTCAGGAATATGGGAGCAACTCTAGTGATTGTGTTCATAGTGCTTTTGTAGTCAGCACAAAATGTCTCATGACATCAGGCTATAATACTGGGCCATCCATCATGACATCCACATTGAATTAAAAATTCCTAGATCATTCTATTTGTCCCAAGGCCTAGCTGTTCCTCTTCCCTA